CACACCTTTTGGGTCTTTAGGAATCAGATAGGATCTAATTGATTGTTAACCTGACAACCTCCTCGTGTTAATAGGAGATGCCATCAGTATTGTAATTTGCAAGTTCCATTATGTTTAGTGTGATTTTATTCCAGATGCCCTTCACATCCTCATATGCGCAACCCCCAATTTCTCTGAAATCACTTTACTTTTCCTGGGAGATGAGCAAATGGTAGAGTCTACCCTTTTGTTGCTTTGGGTTACATTAAAGGAGGGAAACGTGAAGGAGAAGGCAGATTCCTGTCAGAAGTACTGGCAGCGATTGGAGCTGGCCCTGCGTCCTGAGGCTTGTTAGAGCATCATTTGTTGTGCAGGAGGAGGCTGGGTGGGCCATGGGGAGCTGGAGGAACTTCCCTGGGGATCTGTTAATGAGGCATGTGTCTGCTTTAGAGTTTCCGGCAATGCTGCAGGCTGGCCTTGTAACAGCAACAATGATCTCAGCTGTGCCAGAAGAGTGAGGTACACTAAACTCCCTGCTGCAGACTCTCCCTTCTCACTAAACCCTGTTAACTCCTCACTTTCCGACACCTCCTCTTCCTAGTCTTCTCCCTCTGACCCCTCATGGTTGTCCCACCATCCAGTGGCGTAGCGTGGGGGGTGCAGGGGGGGCCGGCCGCACCGGGCGCAACATCTGGGGTTAGGGCAAATCCATGGGTTAGGGGGCGCAAATCCACGGGTTAGGGGGCGCAAATTACCGGTACTTTCCTTGCCCCGGGTGCTGACAACCCACGCTACGCCGCTGCCACCATCAATCCCTGAGCTCTGAGCCAGTCTTCTCTCGGGGCTTCCCCAGCTGGTTCCTCTCACCATTCCTCTGCGTCCGTGACATCAGGATTGGGCCCTGAAAACTCAAGGTCTGGGATACCTGTGACCCGGCAAACCTAATGACAGTTATTGAGGGCTTGTTAAGCCCCTGCAAGTTCTCATTAGAGAATACAGTGCTACCTCAGGTTACATACGCTTCAGGTTACAGACCCCGCTAACCCAGAAATAGTGCTTCAGGTTAAGAACTTTGCTTCAGGATGAGAACAGAAATCATGCTCTGGCGGCGCGGCAGCAGCAGGAGGCCCCATTAGCTAAAGTGGTGCTTCAGGTTAAGAACAGTTTCAGGTTAAGTACGGACCTCCGGAACGAATTAAGTACTTAACCTGAGGTACCACTGTACTGTCACATGCATAGCAGACCAAAAGGGTTAGGAAAAGGCCTTAGGCATGGGTCTAGCCAGGATTTGGAAGGGGGCAGCCTTTTGAGGGGGGGGGCAAAACCTCAGTTTGCTTTGTTTATTGACTTTTATTGATTTGGGGGGCAGCTTGGTATCTACATGCTGTTCGTTGCCAAGTAAATACCATTTTAATACTCCTGGACATTTCTAACTTAATTATTTTTTAGAGTAGCATCTATTCAGCTAGTCCATTGACAATATTAAAGAACAAAATAAAAATATATTTAATCAAAAGTATACTCAAGAAATGTTTTCTTTTGCCAACTACTGGAAGCCTGTGGCTGGAGATTAGCAAGACCATTGATCTCTCTAGGTCTGGACCAATGTTTTAATGGAAAATTTAACAGCACTCCCAAACCCTAAGCAATCTGAAAAAGGGACAACTTTTATGAAGTTTGGCATCCATTTATTGAATACATTAAAGTTAAGGAATATGATTGCCACTCACCCCCTTCTCATGGATTCCTATGGTGAAACAACATTGGATAATAGGATTTTGAGGGACAATTGTCTAGAACTACAGTGGTACCTCGGGTTACATACGCTTCAGGTTACAGACTCCGCTAACCCAGAAATATTACCTCAAGTTAAGAACTTTGCTTCAGGATGAGAACAGAAATCGTGCTCCAGTGGCGCGGCGGCAGCAGGAGGCCTCATTAGCTAAAGTGGTGCTTCAGGTTAAGAACAGTTTCAGGTTAAGAACAGACTTCCAGAACGAATTAAGTTCTTAACCCGAGGTACCGCTGTATAATGCTGTTCTTTGAATGCTACCACTCCGTCCTCTCTCCTCACATCCTTCCTTTCCTTTCTTCCTTTGATCTTTTCTCTTAATTGTTGTTGCTATTGCTTTGTGTATACCAGAAAATAAAAAATTAAAACAATTAGCAAAAAAGAAGTATTTCATTTTTTTAAAAATTGTAAAACCAAACCAATAAACAAACATAAATAAATAAATTGGGGGAATTCATGAGAGAATGAATTTATACTCTGAGAATCTGCACCACACTTGGCTGAAATGGATTCTAAATATCTTTCCCTTAGGTGGGAAGCCCTCACTGCAAGAGAACAATCTTCCAGTGGTGGCTGTTGAGACTGGTAGGGCAGAATGCAAGGAGACCAACAGCAGGTGGCGCCAGAGCCAAATCTGGCAGACCCAACTAATTCTAGTTTTGTTCCCATCCACCTCCATGTTATAGTTCCCAGTGAGGGGATAGAATTTAAAGCACACAATCATGAATTATGGGAACTGTAGTTTAAGGGTGCTGAGAATTGTGCCTCTATGAGGGGTAAACTATAGTTCCCGGGAGTGGAGGCTGGTCCATTAGGGCTAATGGGGCACTGTCTCAGCAACCACAGTCTGCTCTCAGACAGCCCCCACCTACCTGTCTTCTAACTCACAACCAGTTCATGGGGTGGTGCTGCCCTGCGGGTGCTTCTCCTTCCAGCAGATATCTTCGTAAACGCAGGAGAGAGTGAAGGGAAAAGCTTCCAGGATCTCCGTTCTCCTCCTGGGTGCCTTTGATTGAGCCGATGTTGTTTTAGTGCCTCTATGTGTGTTTTCCCAGTTCGTGCCAGAGTGGGCTTAGCAGTGCCGGATTGCGAAAGTTCATTTTCGTGGCAGATGCCCAGAGCAACAAGGCTGGGTGCTTTGTTTGTTTTAATGAATGGAAATAAATAACATAATGACAGGCTGAAGGAACAAGAAAGTCTCTCCACCGTGCTGGCTTTGTGGGAGTACGGAGCCTGGTTGGTATCAGCACATACAGTGGTACCTCGGGTTACATACGCTTCAGGTTACAGACTCTGCTAACCCAGAAATAGTACCTCAGGTTAAGAACTTTGCTTCAGGATGAGAACAGAAATCGTGCTCCGGCGGCACGGCGGCAGCAGGAGGCCCCAATTAGCTAAAGTGGTGCTTCAGGTTATGAACAGTTTCAGGTTAAGAACGGACCTCTGGAACAAATTAAGTACTTAACCTGAGGTACCACTGCCGTAGAAGGTAGGAATGATTATCCAAGGAACTCATGGCAACGCTTGGAGACAGCGAGGAGATTGCCTTGACCTTATTTAATGCAAGCTGCAGAATGGGCAACACTCAGAGCTGGAAGGGACCACGAGAGTCATCTAGTCCAACTTCCTGCAATGCGGGAATCTTCTGCCCAACACGGAGATTAAGAGTCTCATGCTCTGTGACTGAGCTATCCAGGTGTGTAGTCAACTCACTCAACTCTGACCTACTTTGAATTAATAAATGGGGCATGTTGTGACGTGGTTTGCTCAATTGAATCATGGAAGGCGGTCTCTGAGGTCATCAACTCCCTTGTGCAGGATCTGCAGTGCAGTGCACAGTGGAACAGAAACAGTTCCAGGATGGAAGGAGCCACATGTAGCTGGTTCTTCAACAGAGCTTTCTCTCCTGACGAAATGGCAGCCACCAGGAAGGACAGTTGAGGGAGGCCACTGAATGGTCACCTCCACACCACATGGAAAGCACGTGGCTTCCCCACAAACAGCCATGGGAACTATAGTGAACCCTTCTCGGAGCTGTAATTCCCAGCACCCTTACCGAACTACAGCTCCCAGGATTCTTGGGGTCAGCCGTGTGGATGTGATGAGAAACTGTCCTTTTTGCGTATCAGTGCCCTTTAACATCTAACTTGCACACTGTTTTCTTTTACACCCATGTGCATGTATATACTATAAATATATTCATATGAGGATTGCTCTTCTGATGCAGTGGACTTTAGTCCCCAAATGTTCATGTCAGACTTTATGGTGTCACGTGATTCTTCATTGCTTTTCAATGGGGAATAAACCCCATTTAACTGGCGCTGTGGGTTAAACCACAGAGCCTAGGACTTGCCGATCAGAAGGTCAGCGGTTTGAATCCCTGCAACGGGGTGAGCGCCCGTTGCTCAGTCCCTGCTCCTGCCCACCTAGCAGTTCGAAAGCACCTCAAAGTGCAAGTAGATAAATAGGTACCACTCTGGCGGGAAGGTAAACGGCGTTTCCGTGCGCTGCTCTGGTTTGCCAGAAGCGGCTTAGTCATGCTGGCCACATGACCTGGAAGCTGTATGCCGGCTCCCTCTGCCAGTAAAGCGAGATGAGCGCCGCAACCCCAGAGTCAGCCACAACTGGACCTAATGGTCCCTTTACCTTTACCTAAAGTACTTAAAGGTAAAGGTAAAGGACCCCTGACAGTTAAGTCCAGTCGCGAACCACTCTGCTCGCTTTACTGGCAGAGGGAGCCCACGTTTTTCCGGGCCATTTAGTAAACATGCACAAGCCGGGTTGCGGCAGCAGGGCAATCAATACTCCTATGCATGCTTCCTTTGCTAGGAAGCAAGTCCCACTGCGATCGGACTTACTTCCGAGTAAACCTTAAAAGGCTCAGGCTGCAGGGCCGCAATCTTTTGCACACTCACACGGGAGTGGATCCCACCGAACTGCATAAGGATGCTGCTACCAGAGTTTCTCATCCGGAGCGCAAACCGACGACACGCCACCAACCCCACATTCCCTTATCACCGGAAAGATCTCCGCCCCGTCCAGCACAGGACGTGGCCCCTTTAAGAAGCGACACCGCCGCCGCTGCGCACCCCGCCCAAACCCGGGGGGAGGGACTTCGCGTGGAGGGTCAGCGAGCAAGCGAATGAGAGCGCGAGGTTGGGATAGCGCGCGCACTCGGGGAGGGAGGGCCCCGCGGCCGCCGCCGCTGCCGCCGCCAATAGGCTGGCGAGTGGGCGTGGCCAGTGCCGGGCGATCGCGAGCTGCCGGGAATGACGGCTCCGCGGAGGGGGGATCGCGAGGGGCCGCCAGGCAGGTATGCGGGTTACATCATCCCCGTGTCAGACTGCACGTGGGAACGCGGGAGGGATGCGTGGCTGGGACCCGGGCGCGGGGAAAGAGGCTCCTCGGCTGGGACGCGCCTCGGGCAGGCGGGCGGGGGGCTCCCTGTCCTGCTGCTGCCCGCCTGGGGCTCGGGAGCCGGGGGAGCAGCAGCCCTTTCCCCGCGCCTTCTACGTGCCCAGGGTCGGCCTGGGGAGGGAGCGGGACCCGGCGGCTCCTGCCTTCGCTCTCGTTCTGATCAGCGCAAACGGTTTCCCTCCAGGCTCGTCTCTCCTGGATCGGAGCGCTGGTGGGATAGAGGCGGGGAGCTTCGCTGGCGCCTTGGCTTATGCCGTCGTCTGGAACCTTTTGGGCCAGGGCAGCCCCTCGAGGAAAGGGTAAGGCACGCCTGACGGGGGTCGGGGGGAGGCGCGGGCCGGTGCCAAACCGGCGTTTGAGACCCTGGGCTGGCCTTGGGGGCCGAAGGGGGAAACGGAGGCTGCTTTAGATGGTCGTTGAAACTGTGTCAAGCCGCCCAGAATCGCTGCTGCGTTGCTTTTCCTGACTGCAAGCCGCTTTAAAATGCCTTTACATATTGTGATTTCCTCTTGCTAACCAGCCCTGAGACCTTAGGAATGATGGAATTGTAGAGTCGGAAAGGGGTCTCTAGGGTCATCTAGTCCAACCCCCCGTCATGCAGGAATCTCAACTAATTGCGAAGGGTGTGTAGTTAATAATTATAACAGGTGGATCCCATTTGCTCATTCTGCTGTGTGGGGCCCTTGTACTTCTGCCCTAAAGTCCTGCCTTGATGGCATCACCAAGTACCCGATGAAGTTGCATCTGCATGACTAGGGCTGTGGCAGCATCCTGTCAGGGACTGAGCCTGGTAAGAGAGGGACTTGGTGTATCTCCCTGATGGTAGCCAGAGTCTGAAGGGGCCACTCCTCAACAGCCTTGGTGTGGGTCTCCAGGCCAAGGGGCAGTGTTGCCCAGTCTTAACTCCTATAAAGGTAAAGGTACCCCTGCCCATATGGGCCAGTCTTGACAGACTCTAGGGTTGTGCGCCCATCTCACTCAAGAGGCCGGGGGCCAGCGCTGTCCGGAGACACTTCCGGGTCACGTGGCCAGCGTGACATCGCTGCTCTGGCGAGACAGCACACAGAAACACCGTTTACCTTCCCGCTAGTAAGCGGTCCCTATTTATCTACTTGCACCCGGGGGTGCTTTCGAACTGCTAGGTTGGCAGGCGCTGGGACCGAACAACGGGACCGCACCCCGCCGCAGGGATTCGAACCGCCGACCTTTCGATCGGCAAGCCCTAGGCGCTGAGGCTTTTACCCACAGCGCCACCCGCGTCCCATACTTAACTCCTATAGCACAGGATAATTCCCCCTTGCCAATGGGATCCCAGCTGCTGCTATAGCAGGTTTTCCTCTCTAAAGCCAGAATGGGGGAAACTGTGTGCGGCACTCTGGATGTTGTTGACAATCAAGAATAATGAGAGTTGTCTAGCGACACGTGGAGGCCTGTGGGTTCCTTAGCTTTATTCTGAAGAAGGCCTGTGTGGTGTAGTGACGGGGGAGACCCAGGTCCCACCCACTTCCTTTGTGAAGCCCACTCTGTAGGCTGTTCATATCCTAACCCACCTCACAGGGTTGTTGTGATGGTAAAATGCACACGGGGTTAGAGTGGGAACGACTACATACATTGCCCTGACCTCTTGGGAGGAAAGATGGGACCGAAATGCAATTTAATAAATAAAGTTATTGTTCTGATTACTGCCAGAGTGGGTGTGAAAGCTGATTAAATTGCAGCAGGACGTTTCAGAAATTACCCCTTGGGGGTTAGGGAACATTTGTTTGCACTACCTGGTGTAGTAGGAATAGTTAAAATAAATAAACAAAAAACCTGTTTTGCTGATGAGAGAATGATAGTTGAGAGACTACTTGCTCGATGTCACTCAGTGTGAGCCAGTCGATTCAGGCATAATTCTCAAAGGCCTTCTCTGTGTTGGCACCCAGTTTACAGGGTGCATTCTTTTCAGTGGTACGGTTGTTGCTGATTCTTTTTCTTTTGGCACCAACTTAAGGCGGATCTATCTACTCAAGCTTTTGGAGGATGCTAATTCAGCCAGCCTTGTGATAGAAGTTAGGAGCTGTGCTGCAGTCTTAAAGATTCTTAATGTTTGGTGTATTCTGATTATGATATTTTATCTGCTCTGTTGTTTTTGTGACATGGAATGATTGTTTGTGGTTGTTCTGGGGTCATGAATGATGAGGTGTGGGTCAGAAATATTGTAAATAATAATCAAAGCGTAAGGCTGGATCCTAACCCTTTTCACTCTTACAAAGCTAGGGCATTATGAGGATGAACAGGCTGCAAAAATAAGTTCAGTTTTTGGAGATGAGCCGATGATGTCTGGACTCGGGTGCTTCTGCAAGGTAGCAAGGAACACTTCTAAAAATATTTGGATCTGGTGGCCTTTTTGGATGCTTGATCTATTGCTAAAAAGTTTCTTTTAACTCTGGAATTAAAGCCTTGATGCTTCCTGTCAATGCCCAACTCCCCTCCAGGTTTGAGAGTGATGCCTGCTGTCCAGAGACACACGTCCCAGTTGCTAAAATTGCATCATACGGCCGTGTTGGGCAGGGAGAGGTTGAGTGGCAGATTTGGAAGCCGTGGTGTCTTGCCATTTCTCCATACACAATCCTGGCTTTGTTGCTGCTGAGTTGGAGAACTAAACTGACGAGGAAGCTTCTGCCGTTTCTGATTCCCTAGAGCCCAACAGGGAAGGTCACGGGAGACGAGTGAGGCGTGTTTTGCAGCAGACACATGCGGGCTTCTGTATGTTAATGATTCCCAGGTGGAAGTTTTGTAAGCCTGTGTCTGGTGAGTTAGACAACTTTTATTTCAGGGAGTGCAGTTATGCTCTCACTTCAGCTGGTGCTTGGGGAGCCTGTGCTGCCCTCTGCCCCCTTTCGATTTGCCTCTCCTTTGGGTCATCTGCAGGTTAGATTTGCCAGGTTCCTGGGGCTGCCAGCTGACGAAGCTCTTTATGGCATGATTCTGGAAATTCTTCCCCTTGCCCTGGGTGGGATTGCGTGGATGAGACCGTCTGGGAGGCCTGCCGTTCTCTGCTCTAACAGGCCCGGCATTGTTTGCTTTGCACTATTACACATCTATCTCTGCCAGTGAGGACAGAATGTCTGATTTCCCTCCACCTCCCCTCCTTTTCTTTCCTTTTGCTGTGCTGTCTTTTGCTACACTTGGGCCTGCTAATTATTTTCGGTGTTTCGCTCTTCCCCCACCCCGCTGCTTGCCAGAGTGCTTTCTTTTCCCCCTGTGGCATATGCTGGGATATGAGAAACCGGGGCATCGCGTGACCTTGGAGTTTGGAGGGAAAGCTATGCAGGGTGGCTGAAGCTCTCCCAAAGGACTGTATGTTTCCAATAATCTTGTCCACTTGGCTCTCGGCTGAATGTAGCTTTGTCTCTGTAGCTGGGTCCAGAAGCTGCTTTTGATGGTGGCAAGGCAAAGTAACAGAGGCTTGGAGGTGGGACTTAATTGCTCTCTGTAGGTGGGCAATGCCACCACCCCCAGTGCCAAAACAACGACAGTAGGTCCCAATTTCCCAGGTTGATTTGATTCTTGGATGCCAGTCTGGTGGGTATTGTCTTAGAAAATTTGATTGTTTTGCTTGGCCGCCTGGCAAATTGGGGTGGAAACCCCCCAGAATATTTAGAGATCTAGGTTTGTAGAAGGACTGTTGTAGAGTACTAGAGCCACATGCTGTGCCTGAAGAAATTCCTGGGCTTGGTCCTCCAGGTAAGGCTCAGAAATACTTATCTCCCAAATTCTGGGCAGATGAGCTTTAACACAGATGATACTGAATTGGATGGGCTGATGCTTCAAGGCAGCTTCTTGTGTTCCTAACCTGGGTATGTACCGGCTATGACATTTGCCTGCGTCAATTCTGATCAATGTCTTGTCTTAAATGACCCCAGATTCTTCTTGAATGTGGCCACTTCCTCCCAATTGTTTATCATTGTTGCTACCACGTGTGTGTGTGGTGGATGAATAGCTTGGGATCCATCCATGGAAGACTATAGTGATCGCTTTTTGAGAACATATGACCAGTGTTCGAAGTTCCCCAGGCGCCAGGTGTGTTTTGCTTCTGCCGTGGGTCCAATTGCAACTACCTGGGCACTGGAATGGTGACCACAGTTTAAAAACCTTTGCATTAGTCCATCAGAAATATCACTTCAGTTTCCTCTGTGTGTGTTCCTCCTTCTTGCATTCTGGGACAAGTGAATGGTTGTAGGAGCAAGCTACAAGTCAAGCAGTGTAGCTGAGAATTGTAGAATCGTAGCACTGGATGAGACCCCAAAGGTCATCTAGCTCGCTCACCTGGCGAATAGCCATTTCTTTGTGGCGGCCGTAACCTAGATTGAAGGTGCCATTTGGAACCTGGCTTATATATCTGAGTTTATAACATTGCATATAACAGGGTGGATAAAAATAAATGATATATATATATATACACACACACACACACACACACACAAATCAGATTTATTTATTTAAATCAGAAATTTTTGATTTATATCAGTTTTTTTTAATTTAAAACAGATTTTTCAACTAAAATGCTTTTGGGGGGAAAATCTTTCTAAAGATAGTTTTCTATTTTCTATTATTGTCCAAAGGCTATTCATCAGGAAATAAGGATTTGTTTTAAGTTTTTCATGTGTGCTAAAACTCAGTCTAATTTTTTTTTTAAAAAACCGTTTAACCACATCAGTTAACAAACATGGATACATATGCTATAATGTTATTGCTTTAGTTAAATAAATTGTTTAAATTGTTATTAAGTAAATAATTATTTTTCTCCTTCCAATAAAGTACAGTAGAAAAATTGTCCAAATATAAACAGTTAACTTATTAAACCTCACAATAATTTCATAATTATCTGTCTATGCAATTCTAATAGTATAACCAAATCAGTAATGTTTGATATAACTGTAAAAACTACTCTGAACATTTATTATTCCAAAAATGAAACCTTCATCCGGTTGTAAATATTAAGGAGGAGTCTTTCTGTAAAAAAAATGATTTAAATCAAGTCTTACTGACTAGTGATTTAAATCAAGTCTTACTGACTAGTGATTTAAATCAAGTCTTACTGGCTAGTGATTTAAATCAAGTCTTACTGACTAGTGAATTAAATCGTGATTTAAATCAAATCCACCCTGGCATATAACAAGTCCTGCTGCATTAGGTCAAAGGTCCATGAATTTTAGAATTTTTCATGGCCCTCCATTGTGATGAGAAGTACCAGGCCATGTGTCAGAAGCTGCTGCCGTCTTAATTACTCCTAATATCTCTTATCCCTGCCTTG